TGCTGGTATCTCCATTTATATATATTTCCCCCTTTTTCTTTTAGACCCCTCTGTATATTTGGTTGCTTTCAGCACGACATATTCTATCTAGTTTCCCTTATTCTTTTCCTGGATTCAATTATTCTTCGAAGTATTTAGTTTTCACCTCGGCCCCCTTATGTTTTCTTCTTTGGTTTGCATCCCAGAACGAACCCACCCACGCATCAACACGCTCATGGAGCCCTGTCTATAGAGCTAGAGCTACCCTACATATATGGAATAGAGGATTTGTGAAGAACAGGTTTAGGCACAACCCAATATCTGGATAGTTATCTTCTACCAGGTTTCGTCACCCCTTACCAATTTCTGCTTCTCCCCAACCCCTCGGCCAGTGGAAAAAACCCCTCTAGTTCACCACTCAGATTGCGCTTTGTAGTCTAATGGGGTGGCTAGAATAAAGGAAAAGAGAAATGGTGGATCACGTTAATTAAAGGATGACATACGCCCAAGGTTGTATCATATAACACCAAGTCAGACTCCCAAAGAAAAAGAAAAGGGGGATATAAAAACAATCATCCGTGTAGAAGAACGGTCGGAAAAAGGAAGCGAGGAAAAGAGACGTAAGATATTGAAACACGACAAACCCATCATCACCGCTCATCACCGTCGTCATCATCGTCATCACCATCACCACCATCATCACCATCCTCCTCCCTCCTCTCAGAACGCACCGGCTCCCCAATCCCCAAACTTCTCTTCAACCTCCTCTCAAAAGCCTCTACCTCCCCCTGCGTCTTAGCCGCACACTCATTCCCATCCCCATCCCCATTTCCACTTCTATTACCAAACCCATAAACCTCCCTTATCAGCCCCGACACGCCAGCAACGCCCACCTCGACCTTGCCTCTAGGCCCAACAAGATACTCCACAACCTCCTCCACACCATCCATCTCGCGATTTCGTACAATATAGCCCTCCTTGCACAGGCGTGCTAGCAGTCTATCCGTCCTTTCAATGGGGGTGAAATTATCCGCATTAACGCGACGCAGGAGGCGATCCAGTTTCTGCTCTCGTATTGAGCCGCCAGAGAGCAAGATGGTGGATATAATGAAGGTGTAGATGGCGGTGTAGGTGCTTTCGGTGATGGAGGAAGGGGCCTTGGCTGGGGGGAGAATTGTCGGAGTGCGGAAGGCGGGTGGGAGAGTGGTTATGACGGTCCAGGTTTTTGAGGTTGTGGAAAGTCGTTCGGTGCGTTGGGCAGCTGTTTTGAGTTGGGAATAGTTAGCCAAAGAATTAAATTATTAGAAGTAAAGATGGACAACAAGGGAGGGGGATTTGAATACACACCTCTCCTCTGACTAATTGTCACCTTCTCCCTCAAGGGCTGCTCAACCATCTGCATGCCAAATTTCTCCCTCAACTCCTTCTGCGCACCTTCAAAGACGTTTCTAAACTGTCGGGCCCCTTGCTCACCGAGCACTTTATCTCTGATATCAGTCCGCCGGATCACCTGTCGGGAATACTCGCTTGCCAGCGCAAGTCGCACGAGCTTCTTGACCATGATATCTATGGCTCTGTTGGCATGGGTAGAGAGTTCGGGGGCGGACCCGTCATCTTCTGAAGCAGCTGAGTCGAAATCAGAGGGTTGGCGCCGTTGTCGTTTTGCTCGACTGCGGTATTGGGAGGTGGAAGAGAAAGAGGCGTCGGAAGAGTCATTATTATCGACTCCATCGTCATCGAGTTCTTCAACGGGCTGGGTAAGAGGTTAATAGGATGGTTAGGTAGGTACCTTTTGTTTTGTGCAACTTGAGCTTGATGAGGGGATTGAGAAAGGAGGGAACATTCGACCTACAGCGCGACGGCGGCCGCACACCACGGGCATATTGAGGGATCAACTTAGGATATCTTGAAATGTTTTTCAGTGGCTTTATATATTATTGGAGAAATTGGCTGCTTGCTCAGTTAGGGTAATGTTACCCCGTTTCTTGAGCATCCCTAGCATAACGCGTTGACTGGCATTGAGTTGTCTCGCAAGCAACAAACTAGATAAGTTTAATCTCTATTTTAATCTTTTATACTGCTTATCTGTACAGTGATGTAGTAGGATAATTTCCTGTTGTATTCCAAGCAGGCAAGCATCATTGGTCTAGTGGTAGAATTCATCGTTGCCATCCACCGCTGTGTCAAACGGCGTTCGGATTCGATGAGGCCCGTGTTCGATTCACGGATGATGCATTAAAATTGTATTTTTCTCATTCCCATTTCTCTCTCACCTTTTCTTCCCTCTTTCACCTACCACTCCACTCCCTAATTTTGGGTATTATTTTGTCGAGAACAATTGCGGTAGGTGTCTTTTTTCTAAGGGATATAATTATACAAAAGTCCACTATCCGGGGCCACATTGCCGGATACTGAGTTCACGTATATATGAACCTGGTTATCCTAGACAACGGTAACTAACCATGTACGTCGACATATATATTTGTTATATCTTGATATCTATCAGACAAGACCTCCGGGAAACTTGCTGTGGAGGCGTTCACGGACTAAACACGATAGGGAAACGATATCAGCTACTTCAACCGGAACCTCAATATGCAGATATCATCCATATGCTCTGCCAGCTGCCAGATGTGTAGTTTGGCAGGATAACAATCTGCAACATCCCTTCCGTCTGCTCAAATATAATAAAATCTTTCCATGCTCTAACTACCTATCCGCTTAGCTAATTTCCAACCTACGCCACAGAGAATTAGCACAAGATGAATCGAGAGTCATTTACCCTCTTCAATGCTCCGTTTCAACGGAGCAGCCTGGTTCAATAAATCCCCACCTTCAAAAACAATCCACAACTCCTAGCGACGGGACAACACCACACCGACCACCACAGTCGAAGTGCAATTGGCGTGATCAAATGACCAAAGAAACATGGCTAAGATATCATATGTTACGGACGGACCCGCGTTATCGTAACGCATATAACTACGGAGTATGCAGGTCCTCTTCTGATATTCCAATAATAGCAATTGCATTTCAGCCATTTGATAATGTGGTTGTTCTAGCCTCGCTGAATGTCAAGATCATGACCTCAGCATTGGTATCTCAATCAGAGATAAGGGAAATCAAGGATATCTGCGCGTTACTGCTCAAGTCAAAGATACTAACTAGCTTAAAACGCCTGCGGTCATTTCCCCAAATTTCGTCTTTGACATCCCGCATCATCGGTGGGTGTTCTCTCTGACCTCGCCCTGAGAGACGCATGCATGGCTTCAACCTCCTGATGCCGGGACGAACGGCGATCTACGCTTGAACAACTTTAAGTTTGATGGAAGAAACCTTAGACCCACAAGCTTTTCACCAGCCAGCCACGGCATTGGTTGAGTCTTTATCGCATAGTCCTCGGCAGCAAGCCACCGGAGAATGTTTAGAGGAAGCTAACCTTTTTTTTTTTTCGGCGGATTGCGTAAGATATTTGAAGTGAAAAGATAACTAATCCAGACTGTATGACACCGTGCCATAAAAATTTTGCACGTTTGCAAAAAAGTAATAGACGAGAGGGGGAAAAAAAGGCAAGAAAAAAAAAAAATTTGCCAGACAGATCCCACTCGAAATTAATATGTATGACATGGCAACCAGTGGCTTTTGACTGTGACGATCTCTCGGAGAAAGATAATAACCAGATGCGGGGGGCTGCTTAGATACCTGCAGCAGCGCTCGTTTGCTTTTCCCTCCCTCTCTGTCCTCTTCGACGCGAAGTAGTCGTTCCATTCTTTTTTTCCTCTCATTTTTATCTGTTCCCTTTTCCGGTGAACAACTCGTCGAGGAGCGTGCATTTTAACCCGCTTTGCCTCCGGCGCTGCCGTTTCACAATGAAGAATTGGCCCTCCGCCATCAACCGTGCCGTAGCAGAGAGCTTTGTCGGCCGCCGCTTCAGGTTGGAAGGGTCTGGTCATGTAAGCAAGAAAGCACACGAAGACGGTGGAAATTGGAAGAGAACAAGGGAAATGAAGAATCCAGGCTGACCATCTCCTAGCGATATGAGCGGAAAGGAACCCGTTTCCTAACTGAGGTCCGGGCGGGCCTCACCACCTTCTTTGCCATGGCCTACATTATATCTGTATGCAGCCCTCTAGTCTGGCTATTGGGCGTTATCCCCTGCTTGCTCTATCACCATTGTGGCGCTGCTGCAAAAAATAAGTAAAAAAAAAAAAAAAAAAAGGAAAAAAGGAAAACGGAAATCAAATAGTGAACTAAACCTTTGCCCATAAAGGTCAATTCCACCATCCTGACTGAATCCGGCGGAACCTGCGTCTGCCACGATCGCGCCAACAAATCATGCATTGGAAACATAGAATACGACCTCTGTCTGAATTCGCTCAGAAGAGATTTTATTACGGGCACTGCGGCAATGGCTGCCCTTTCGTCATTCTGCATGGGCCTGTTTGCCAACATGCCAATTGCGCTCGCTCCTGGAAGTACGCATTTCTCCTCTGTGAAAATGAAAAACCACTGGCGTTTGGTTGTAGATATATAATACTCTTGTTGACCTTGCTGCCCCGCTTACAGTGGGCTTGAATGCATACTTCACGTATACCGTCGTCGGACCTCGTGGCTCCGGCCCTGTTCCCTACCGGCTTGCTCTTACTGCGGTTTTTGTCGAGGGATTTGTCTTTGTGGGTCTGTCAGTATTTGGCATGCGCCAATGGCTTGCAAGGGCTATTCCCAGAGCGATTAAGCTTGCTTCAAGCGTTGGTATTGGATTGTATCTGTGTATGTTTTGGATCCCGATAATATTCTCCTCTGTCCCAGTCCTCCTCCTGTTGTGACTAACGATTTTGCCCTCTTTGTTCCGCTAGCTCTCATTGGATTAACCTACAGTGCTGGTATTGGAGCCATCACGGGTGGCATAGCCACTCCCACAACCCTTGCAGGATGTCTGGAAAGTGAAATGGTAAATGGTATTTGCCCCTCCGGAGCTCGAATGCGCAACCCAACGCTGTGGGTCGGTCTATTCTGCGGGGGTGTTCTCACCTGCATCCTCCTGATGTACCGTGTAAAGGGGGCTATCATCATCGGTATTCTCCTTGTGTCCATCATTTCCTGGCCCCGCTCGACGAATATCACCTACTTCCCCCACACGCCCAAGGGAGACGATTCGTTCGACTTCTTCAAGAAAGTGGTCACCTTCCACCCCATCGAAAAGGTTCTTGTAGCTCAGGACTGGGATTTGAGGAAAGCCGGCAGCCAATTCGGTCTAGCGCTTATAACCTTCCTTTATGTCGACATCCTCGACGCAACCGGCACCCTCTACTCCATGGCACGCTACTGCGGTGCAATTGACGAGAGAACACAGGATTTTGAAGGATCTGCCGTCGCCTACATTGTCGACGCATTGAGTATTTCCATCGGCTCCCTTATGGGCTTGTCCCCCGTGACGGCCTTTATTGAGTCAGGCGCGGGTATTGCCGAGGGCGGCGCCACGGGACTCACTAGCATGGTCACGGGCATCTGTTTCTTCATCGCGATCTTCTTTGCGCCTATATTCGCCGCCATCCCGCCTTGGGCGATAGGTTGCACGCTCGTCCTGGTCGGTTCCATGATGATCAAGGTCGCATCGGAAATCAACTGGTCATATATCGGTGACGCGGTGCCTGCGTTTATCACGCTGGCAGTCATGCCGTTCACGTACTCGATCGCGTATGGGCTCATAGGGGGCATCATGTCATATCTGCTGCTGAACACGGTGGCGTGGGTTATCGAGAAAGCATCAGGAGGCCGCATTGTGCCTCATAACAAGAATTTGAAAGAGCCGTGGACATGGAGGGTTTCTGGTGGGCTCCTGCCGGGGTGGATCGCTCGGCTGTTGCGAGGGTATTTTTCCCTTTTCCCCCCCTTTTTTATTATGTTTTTACTTTTCATCTCTGGTCTTGCTTTTCCTAATCTTCCCCACCTTTGTGTTGCTCCTCTCTCCCCCCACTATGACCCAACGATGGACTGACCGTCTCTTCTTCACATGAAAACAGGAGAAAGAGTTTCTGGCAAGAAGACGCCCTACACAGTGGTAATCCCAACTGCTCCTCAACTACCACAAGCAACGGAGCAGAAGCCGATGGATGTGCCGCGACAACTGGAGATAATAGTGCCATTGACATTGCGACGTCTGCGAGTAATAGCGGTGACTTACAAAAGGAGAAGTAGTGCGAAGCAGGCTTATCTTGATTTACGATCAGCTTGTGTACCGTTTGTTCCCTTTGGAACAATGGTGGGGGGATTGTATATAGATGTGATGAGGTTTGTTGCCAGTGCGGTATGGTATTGGCTTTAGGTGCGCCCGTTTTCGCCCGCTTGCGTGGAGAAATGGTAATAATTACTTATGCGATATGATATGCGGTGGAAGATATCTTGGTTTGTAGTTTTTCATCCAGTTTTTGTATATTGTGCTGTCCATGTACATTAAAGCCCTCTTCTTAGATAGTGTGTTATCAATTCATCCACTCTTGAATGGATGAAGTTTTAAACCAATTTAGCAAGAATAAAATTTTTGATTCCCCCTCTTTTCCTTAAGGACTCTGATTTCCCGGGAACTGTCCATACGAACAGACATGCGGTTTGCATTATCCGCGGTCTGGAGTTGACTACGTTATACGGATGCTCCCATTCCTATATTCCGTGTCTCCTAATTTCATTCCATTGTCTCTGAGCACAACATCCACAGGATATCCGTTCCCTTCTTATCAATGAATCCCTTTCAATGGCCCGATGCAACTAACTAATGACATCACATTTTCACCGGGGGCTCTGCGTCCAACGCCAACGTCATTTCTGGGTCCACTTGGGCCATCGCCCTCCTATACCCCTCTCTGCCCCCAATCCTCTGCAAGTAGCCCAAAATCCCTTTATATTCCTGCAAACTATATCGATACCAGTTCCTGAAAGTCGTTAGCGAAAACACAACAATGATATCCGCCGCCGTAAACTCTTCACCAGCCAACCATGTCGCCTCTTCGCCGCCTTCGTCCCTTTTCTTAAATCGATTGTCCAGCATCCTCAGCGCCCGCTGTCTTCTGCCGCTCCAGAGGGCTATCAGGGGATTGGAACCAAGAGTTTGGTTCTGGGTTTCGCTCCTGCTGTTGCTGTTGCCGCCGCCGCCGCCGCCGATACTGCTCATGATGGTCTCCACTGTCAAAAGCCGTCCCAACAACGGCTGAAAAGTCCCATTCGCCCAGTGGAACCAGTAGAGGAAGGTTGCGTAGTCTTTATGTGTTGAGGGTAGGAATAATCTCCCATTCCCATATTTATGGCTGATATACTCCACGCAGGCGCAGCTTTCAGCAAGGATTAGGGTTTGCGGTTCTGCATCACTACCACCGTCGTTGGTGGGAAGAGTATCTTGAATGACAGGAGCGGCACCGGAAGGGTGCAGCGCTTTATACTCGGGCGGAGCGAAGATTGGATCTCGCTTGTAAGTTTTCAGCTCATAGGGAATGTTTAGTTCTTCGCAGAGCCAGGGGATGCGTTCGGATTGGGAGGAGTGGAGGTGGTGGATTGTTAGGGGCATGGTTCTCTTTTCCTCTTATTTGCACTTGGAGGGATATACCCGGGTATTTATGAAATGAAACTGTTTTTAGAAGTATTATAGGCTTGGTGTAGGAGGCAGAGATCGTAGATGCTTAAGAAGTCTGTCTGAAAGTGGGGGGAGGGGGGGGAGCTGGAAGATGGATATCCAAAGAACAGTCAACTACCTGAATGAAGTTAGTTAAATATGCAGTACAACCGTCTATCCTTGACAGTTTCTTCATGTATAGATTCCTTTCAGCAGAAGTTTCCGCGGCTGGATCATTGGGCGGACAATACCAAAGTTGCTGCCCAAGGAGGAATCACAAGCAAGCCCTAAGAGTGTAAATCATCCCGAGAGGTATGAGATTGGTTGGAAGATTTCTCGAGTGAATTCCAATTCTACCCTCCCTGTTCTATGAAGAACTCTACCGCCTGGTCTTATCAAGCCCTCTCCCACAGAATCCACTGAGGAGCCACCAACTCTGCCCATTCAGTGGCCCTGTTCACGCAGCTCGCATCCGAACTTTGACAAGGGAGAATAAGCTCCTAGTTCTTTGCTGCAAACAAGTAGAAAACCCATCAACGAACTTTTTGACCTTCGCGGAAAGATTAGAGAGATATAAAGTTTTTTAAATTATTGACGACAACCATGGATAATTACTCGTGAGAAGTTCCTGCGGATTCTATAGTTGCTCAAAACGCAGACTTCACTGGTAGTATGAAATGACACATCGAATAGGTTTAGAGAAGACCTAATCAGTTCGAAAAAAGGGGCAAGGGAAACGGAAGGGGTAAAAGGGAATGGCAGGAGAAGAGAAGAGAGAGTTGAAGACTTTGAAAAGGAATTAAAAGCTACCAGCCCTAATCAAACTGAGGAGGGGAATCAGTAGTTCACAGTGGGAAATTGGGTGTGTGTGTGTGTAGGGGAGGAAGAGAGAAATATTAAATTAACTATCCTTTTTGCTAAGCATGACACAAGGGGGAAAATGCATAAGAAGAGAAGAAAGACATGCGAAAGAAGAGCCAGTGGTAAGAAAAATATGGAAAAAAAAGAAAAGGAAAGAAAAATGAAAACATGAAAAAGGCAGTCAAACCATGTCAGAAACCTGGACTCGAAGGAGGACTTTTCACTCTGTGCTCTGTAGAAAATGGAAAAGAGTGTGCCCAAAGGATGGCCAATCAAGGCTATAAAAGCTTAAAAAGAAAATGAAAACCCCCAATGGACAATCTCCTTTCAAGGCAAATTAACGACAAATAAATAAATAATATATCAATAAATCATTGGAGACTCCCACTAATTCAAACACTCGCTCGCCTGCCTAGGCATACCAAACCATGCTCTTCTCACAAATATACCTACCCCTATTCTCGTCACATCACAGTCCACTGTAATAGCTGTAGCAGTATTGCATCCATTTAACTCTCAAGGCGAAGTCTCACTAGTCACCCTTCTCTTAGGCTGCGGAGGCCTTCTCAAACTCTTGACTCGATTGATAAAGCCACTGCTACCACTAACAGCATGTCCAGAGGTCTTTGCATCCTCACCACCACCAATGCTCGAGCTCCATTCAGAAGTGATATTTTTTTCGCCCGGAATAACCTTAGGGCTACTCGATGATCGTTGCCTGGTTGCAGGGAGGCTATCTGCCAGGGCATCATCAGAAAGTAACTGAATCTTGGCGCCCTTCTTATCATACGCATCGTCATAGTCATGCTGTTGGGAAAATGGGCTCCTCTCGTTATACCGCTTGGAATTGGATGATCGGGGTGGGCTGGTTTGAGTATTGTTGTTGCCGCTGTCAGAGACAAATTCCGTTGAAGTAACGCGGGTGCCTTTTTCGCGATTGTTTATTCCACGGATTTTCTGTACTAGACTCTTCTTCCGCTGTATTCCTCCATTCTGCAAGGCCTGCGCCTCATTCTCACTCTGACGCCGCTGGATGGCAGCACGGCTTGCAGGAGCACCCTCGAGGAATGTACTGGTTCCCAAGCCCATACTTTCAGCCCCATGAATTGGCTCCAGTTTGGCTGTCGGGTCGAAGCTGTCACCTTGGCCAATTTTGCTACTGGACAGACCGGTGCTTGAATAATCTGCATATCCTTCAGCTCCTCGTCCGTGGAAGAGATTGAGATCGATATTGCTGTTATTAGGACCAGCCCCACCGATTGCCATGTTTCTCGAATCCTTTGCAAATGCCTTAATTGGAGCAGCTCGCGATCCTTTGCGGTTGCGATGAGGATTGCAGGCATCGAAAGGTCCATCATGGTGGAAGACTTAAAGCAGGACAAAAGATTTACACGTCAGTGGGAATAGTTAGTAAATTACAGCAGTCAGACCATACTTACGGCCAGTTCCATATATGCCGGTAACATCCAGCTTATCGATCACATCAAGTTTATGACCATTTGTTCTCCTGCTACGAGATTTGCCGTCCTTGTCCTTGTATTTAGCATCACGTTCTCGTTGTCTTCTTTCACGTCTTCGTCTTTCCTCTTCGGGATCGAGGGGCTTTGAAGGCAAGTCCATTACGGAGGACTCAGAGTTGCGTCGGGGCCGTCGATGGCTGCGAGTTTTCGAGGGTTCCTTTGGATCTGAGAAGATGTCCCCAGCAACAAAGCGAGTCTTTCCCTTGTTGCGTGACAGGAGTTCCTCTTTCGATGGTTGTCGATTGGGACGGCGAGTGGACTTATCGTCGGAGAGTCCCTTTGGGGGGATGTTTTCTCTTCGTGGTTGGGTTTGTGTTTCCCGTGAGTTGGATGGTTTGTCGAGGCAGAGGTTTTCCTACAAACACAATCCGTCATGTATTAGAAGGCGACCGAAACAAATCGTTGGTGGCGTGATTGTACTTTCTTAGTGAAGGAGTTAAAAGCACGTACAAAGAGTTCCGCAGCATGCCCAGTCAATGGAGGATCTGTAGGTGAAGATTTCCGCGGTGACATATTCCCAATGGATCGAGAAAAAAGTGGTAATGAGGCTTCTGAGATGTCTAGAAACGGGTTTGTGGACACAGGGCGTGGTCGCGGGGTAGGGAGGGGGCTGGTTGGGGTGGTGATGAGGGAGGGAGACGCGGCACGGTTTCTAAAGGGATTATTGGATCCCAAATTGACGGCCAATCCCGGCGACGGTTGCCGGTCTGGGAAGGTTATTTATGAAACGATGTTAGCTAGATCTTGGGTTTGGATACACAGGTGGGGTTTTGAGAACTCGAATTTGCGCTGGATGGGTTCTGGAGGGCAGATGCCAGGAGTCTTCTGAAACGTCTAGAGACAATACATTGGACACAACGGTTGCATTGGACACAACTGTTGCAGGGAGTTGAAGAAGGATTGCAGATATACGCATGGATTTAAGGTGCTTAGGGGGTATGATGATATTGTGGGTTTGTGTTGGTTGTATTGTTCTTGTGTTGTTGTGTTTGAAAAATGTTGTGGAGGATATAAAATGAAATAGGCATTTACAAACCTGGCGCTAATATTGGGGCAAGAGACATCTTGATTTTAGTTCAGAAAAGAAAGAAGGGGGTAAAAAACAGGTTTCAGGAGGAAGTTGAGAACTAGCAGGGGGAATCTGTTGATCAAACAGATAACCAGCCAGACACACAACACTGCACGGAAGTGGCTGTTTTAATAAAATCTCTTCTACTCTGGCAATGGCAACGTGGTGGAGAACAAAGGGTGCGCCGTATTCGAGATGCTATCTTCCTTTCTCGAAATCGCCGGCTGTCGTCGCCAGTCAGGCGGACAATCAGTCAACCAGACAGACAAACGGGGGAACGAGACGACGGGCGGACAGAGGCGATGATCAAGACGATTGCAAAGGGAGGACTCACACAGAGCTGTGAAGAACGATGACGAGGTGGATTCGCCAGAGGCAGACGAATCAGTATTTAATTTGTTTTTTTAATCGCCTGTAGCGGGTCAGTGAACGGTTGGGTTGGGTTGATTTAGCGATGGTAAAATTAAGAAGAGAGCATTGACGGGGCCAATGGGGGGGTCTTTAGGGGTTTCTCAAAGGTGAAACATGTGGGGTTGCGACCAAACAGAGTAGTCTTGAGACGAGACAGGGGCGGGGAAACAAAGGGAGACTTTGGAGCAGTCCCAGACAAAGAACATAAAAGTATGAATTTTGATGAAGGGTATGAGT